AGAAGAGAACAGTTTTGGTGATAAAAGTTATGAGAGCGATTGTAACAGTACGGAAAAGAATGAAAACCTTGTTAAACCAAGTTATAAGACATCATCACAATGGCTTTCTGTCATAAAATAACAACTGCACGAAATACTAATTTCCCGACCCCCTTCATTTCCCCTTGACGCCTATAAAATGGGTAATTTCATCCCTACAAGAACCACTGCCCTATAGGATGATATGTTAATAGTTTTTGCCGCTGCTCAGGAAACACTTCTACAGGATTCGTTTTCATGCTGAAGTTTTCAACACTATCACTTCTACAAAGTGAATTCTATCTCATACTATAAAGTTTCCAAATTTTTTCAACATTTATTTTGCAGATATCAAAACGATATCATCACTATACTATTGAGGCGAACATGATAACAGCTTAACCATGCGAGTGCACGGTTATGTACCACGTATTGATGTCAACAAATGCACATTCTCGTGACATTTTCACTTCAGTATTATAAATTTGCATCATAATTACAAATCGGTATAAAGCAGTAATTGCGTTCTTGAATGGAACAATTATGTTGGCTGTTGATGAAGTTGTTTTGTGAGTTGCTGAAGAGAGGAGTAGTGTGCGCCTGGTGAATTTATCATATGTTTTGAGATGGCTGAAGATGGTACTTGAGATGTAATTATGTTGCTTAAAGAAGTGGCCAGAGAAGATTGAGTTGATGGCGTTGACAGTGATACAGATGTTCTTGGATTTGTCGTAGTTTTCGGAGCGGTTGAAGTTATATTTACCGTTGCAGTTGTTAACTTTGATGTTGCAGAGGTGAAACTTGTCGATAATGTTGTTGGATTTTTCGAAGTGGCCGAAGAGGTCGCCCTTGAGTGTGTTGACTGTGTTCGTGGTGTTGTAGGGGTTACGGTGATTGTCGTTAAACTTTTCGTAGTGATTGAAGAAGTCTCGCTTGTCGGTGTCTTTGTCGTTTGTACTGCAGGTGATGTTGAAGAGGTTGCGTGGGTTGTTTTTGTTGTTAGACTTACCGAAGTGGTTGAAGGGGAAGTCGTGTTAGCTGTTGTTGACTGTGGTGCGATAGAGGTTAC